CATGCCGCCTCTTCGGACATGCCACAACACCACCCCGCATGTATGAGGGCCCGGTACGACGCTCCGGTGGCATTGCTACCCCCCAGGGCCCCCGTCCCGCCTAACCCTGGAGCGGTTGACCACGGGATCTAGCCCTTTGACTTTGCACGGACGGGCTTGACCAGTGGATCTCTCCACCCGGTTGTGTCGGGTCGGCCCAGAGGGACACCAGGGAGCAACATCCGGGCCAAACCCACAGCTAAATCCACTCCATGTAGACCAGACGCATCCGTTCCCCCCCTCCAGGTGCCGGCGGCGGCGCCGTCCGTGACGGGGCCACACCCCGGAGATGCGTGCCGCCTCTTCGGACATGCCATAATACCATCCGGTTGTGGTAGGTCATCCGATATATATAAACACTTGGAGCAAAGTCCCCTTCGTATAGACCTGATGCGGCTGTTCCCCATTCCAGTTGCCGGCTGGCGGCGGCACCGTTCGTGAGGGGGGTCACAACGCTTTGTACAGAACCGAAAAATAATGTATGTATGCTTATTAACACATACTGTATGTAAGTTAGTTAAATAAAAATAATAAAGAAAATAGGGAAGAAAAAGAAAAAAACTATATGTATGATTATTAACACATACTATATGCTTATTAACACAATCTATAGGTATGCTTATTAACACATATTGTATGCTTAATAATAATAATAATACTATATGGAAAAAAAGAAAACAAACTATGCCGACGGCAAAGCCGTCGGCATAGGTGCGGCCAGGGCAGATGGACAGCGCCGCGGATCGATGACGTGTCGGCTATGCCAACGGCTGCCGTCGGCATAGCTCCTGGTCGGTGCGCTCTAGATCGGTGACGTGTCACCTGTATCTATGCCGACGGCCACCGTCATGGCCGTCGGCATAGATTTGACGTCGTTAGCCGGCCGTGATGACAGTTGTCAGCGGGCCCGCATCTATGCCGACGGCCTATATATGCCGACGGCAGCTGTAGGCGTAGTCTGGAATAAGCCGACGGCCTATATATGCCGACGGCTGCTGTCGGCGTAGACGCGGATAGCCCGACGGTCATTGTACGCCGACGGCCAGGAGTTAGCTGTCGGCATAGCTCGGACTAGGCCGACGGCAGCCGTCGGCATATATTTGGCTGTCGGCGTAGAGCCCTGTTCCGGTAGTGATGGCGATCTCGTCATGCTCTGTATCACCAAACACACGTCATGGCCATGGCGTACACGGACGCACCTGCACATTGGAGTAATTGATTCACTGGCCACTTGCCTTGGACCATGGCGGCGAGGGTGGCATCATCGTTGGCGAGGTGGCGGACCATGAAGGTCATCAGGATGGACGACGTGTCGTGGCCGGCGATGAGGGCGACCATGGCGTTGTCCACGATCTCCTCGTCGCTCAGCAACCGCTCGCCATGGTTGTCCGTCAGGCCGAGCAGGCAGGTTATGAGGTCGTTGCTCCGCGGCGCCCTGCTGTGCTCCGGCTGGCACCGGCTGGCCGTCTTCTCCCGCGTGATCTCCGCCAGCACCCGACGGGCTCTGCCGCTGGCCTTGAGGCTCCGGCTGAACGCCGTGAACGGCAGGTTCACCGGGATGGCCCACATGCCCTTTCATCATGTGCACGAAGTCGCCGGCCAGCGCGTCCCGCACGGCGCCCCTCCTGAGGCCGAAGAGCAGCGCGGAGATGATGTCGAACGTCAGCCGCTTCATCAGCGGCAGCACCGTCACGGTCCCGCGGCCGGCCCAGTTCTCCTCGACGTGGCGCCGCACCTCGGCGTCGATCCCGCCCACGTACATCTTGAGCATGTCCGGCCTGAGGAACTCGAGCAGAGCGCCGCGGACGCGCCGGTGGTCGGCGCCATGGAGGTCCAGGATGCTGTTCTCTCCGAGTATCCGCTGCACGGACCGGGGCTGCCGCGTCGAGAGCGCGCTGCTGAAGAACAAAAACTTTTTGGCCGCCGGTCCGGCCAGGAGCACCGTCGGCGTGCCGAACAGCGACAGCTTCGACACGGGCCCGTACCTGTCGATCCGGTTCTGTACCCACCGGCTGCCGCCGTCGCCGCCGCGCATGGCCCGGAGGAGGCCGAGGCTCTGGCCAATCACCGGCAGGCCGAGGGAGCCCGGGGGCAGGTTGGCCAGCCGTCTTTTCTTGGCCCTGCTGAGGAGGTGGATGGCAATGGACGAGGCGGCGACAACCAGTGCCACGACTATGGCCAAATTATCCATTGGAGAATGATGACTGTTAAGACGATGATGATTCTACTACTTGAAGCAGAGGATCCCGGTTAAATGACAGGGAATCGCAGTCATTAGTACTACATTACTCCCCTCCGTCCTAAAATTCTTGTGTTAAATTTGTCTAGATACGGATGTATCTAACACTAAAACATAACTACTCCCTCTGTCCGGAAATACTTGTCCGAGTATTTCCGGACGGAGGGAGTACATCTGTATCTATCTAAATCTATATTTATATCTATATCTATATATATAGATCTACTAATAAAGCAAGGCACGTTTCTCCGATTTTTTTTCATTCGTTCATTGCTAAAAGATTTTCTTATATCTATCCGATGTGGTACTAAACTTTCATTCTCCGTCTATTTTTTTTAGGGAATCATACTCCGTCTGTTAGCAAAGAAAAAACGATTTGTGAGGATTTTCGTATATGGGCCGCGCGCCCTATGGCCCAGTAAAGTCAGCCCTTTTTTTTCCTGCCAACGCAGCAATAAAACAAAATCCTATTTTCCGGCCAGAGCGGCATATAGTTTCAGCTACGCACAGCACGACCAAGACACGGCGGCCAATTTTTATTTGTGTTCTGTTTCAAATTTCCCTTTCCTGTTTCTTTCTTTTTTTATTTCCTGTTTCTTTTTGTTTTTCCCATTGCAAGTATATTTTTATTTTTTTCTGAAATTACAAACTTTTCAAAAAATGTTTATAGCTGCAATTTTTATTCACAATTTCGTAAAAAGTTACGAATTACAAAAATGTGTTCCTATATTATTTATTTTTTTGATTTTTTTGTCGTGCCAAAATATTTCAAAATTTAATAAATATTCACATTTAAAAACAAATGTGAACATTTTTCAGAAAAATAAATAAATATTAAAAAAATGCATTTATAAAATGGTCCAAATTCGAAAAATATTCTTGTTTTAGATATAGTTTAAAAAATTGAAAAGAATGTTTGCATTAAAGAAACACATTTTCTAATATTCTTCTACATGTTTAACACATGTTCCCATTTAAAAATCTTCGATTTTTTCATCCGTTCACCGCTAAATTTTTTTTTGTTTCTATCCGATGTGGTACTAAACTTTCGTACTCGATCTGTTTTTTCCTTTCTTTTTTGAGGGAATCGTACTCCGTCTGTTAGGAAAGGAAAAACGATTTGTGGAGAATTCCGTATGTGGGCCGCGCACCCTATGACCCAGTAAAGTCAGCCCTTTTTTCCTGCCGACGCAGCAATAAAACAAAATCCTATTTTCCTGCCAGAGCGGCATATAGTTTCAGCTACGCACAGCACGACCAAGACACGAAGGCCAATTTTTGTTTTTGTTCTGTTGCAAATTTCCTTTCTCTGTTTCTTTCTCTTTTTATTTCCTGTTTCCTTTTATTTTTCCCATTGCAAGTATATTTTTAGTTTTTTTCTCTGAAATTACACACTTTTCACAAAATGTTTGTAGCTTCAATGTTTATTCACAATTTCGTAAAAATTTACGAATTACAAAAATGTGTTCCTATATTATTATTTTTTTGTCGTGCCAAAATATGTTCAAAATTTAATAAATATTCACATTTTTGATAAAATGTGAATATTTTTCAGAAAAAAATAAATATTTAAACAAATGCATTTAGAAAATGGTCCACATTCGAAAAATATTCTTGTTTTAGATATAGGTTTAAAAATTGAAAAGAATGTTTGCATTAAAGAAACACATTTTCTAATATTCTTCTACATGTTTAACACATGTTCCCATTTAAAAAAATTGTTCACAACATAAACATATTCATATTTTTATAAGAATGTTCGTGTATTTAAGAAATGTATGCGAATATCAGGAAATTTTTTGTTCAAGTTTTTGTTCACTTTGCCAAGTATATTCGGTAGTTCATGTTATGAATTACAAAATTGCGTTCCTATTTAAAAATTGTTTGAAATTTTAAATTTTTGTCATTCTGTTTTTTTTCAGAATTTTAAAAATTATTCCATTTTTTGAAAAATGTTTGGGTTTTTCCAATTTGTTCAAGACTTAAAAATGTTACAAATTTGAAAATATTCTCGTTGTAATGATATGTTCAAAAATTGAAAATAATTTTCGCATTAAAAGACACATTTTCTAAATTTCTTCCATATGTTCAAAACATGTTCACGTTTCAAAAAATTGTTCACAACTTCAAAAAAGATCGTAACATGTTCCTGTTTCCAAAAAAAATTCACAGCTTCAAAAAAGATCGTATTTTTATGAAACGTTCATGCGTTTAAGAAATGTTTGTGAATTTCAACAAATGTTCCATTCAAAAATTTTGTTCATCTTTTTTTTAAATGTGTGGAATTTTTAAAAAACATAATCTGGAAAATTGTTCACGTTGCCAAGTATATTTGACATTTCGTAGTTATTAGTTCACGAAAAGTTCAAGAAAAAAGTTTCAAATCTGACGTTGCATTAGATTCTTTAATATTAACGCTAACCATTGGTTAGTAGAATGCATTTGTTTGAGTGGCTAGCAACATGTGGTCGGGTCTTTGAGATCGTGAGTTCGATCACTTCCATACTGGGCCTGCTCCGCATCCGGCGCATCAAGCTAAGTCGGCTTGTTTAGAATAAGGGACACCATAAATTATTGACAGTGGTATCTTCCATGCGTCAATAAAAGAGAATATGCTAGTTAATTATAATTGGAACAAATTATGGGCATGTGCCAATAAAAAAAGAATATATTGGTTTGGCTCTAATTAAGGATTCCATGTTGAACTAGAGAATACAGGCATGTGGGGGTCTTGATCCATTCTTATATTAAGCTAGAGGCATGTAATTTTATCCTCCAGTTGCAACGCACGGGCATGTGTGCTAGTATTTAGACAAATCTAATACAAGAATTTTGGGACGGAGGAAATATTATAAACAATCAAGATCACGCGCCCAATATTTCATCAAAGAAGAAAGAAAGAATCTTGCATTGCACACGAGCTTAAAAATGCTGAGATGCTCTCACGGCAGAAGACAAAGGACGCCGATATCTACCACACGTGTGGCATAATAGGCATTCGCCACGCATCATGTGTGGCATGAGCGGGGGCTGTCCCACACGGGCTGTGTGGGCGCAGCTACTTCGTGTCACAGGCCCAACATGTATTATTCATCCTCACCCCGCGCGTATGGCACGAAGCAAATATGCCCACACATCGTGGCGCAGCTATAATAGGTACCCGTGGGATGACGATTTAGTTGCCATCCGGGATGACAGATGTAGTTATCAGGGATGGCAAATATTGTTGTAAAAGCATGGCAACTCTATCTGTTTTGGTTAACTATAGTTGCCATGTCTAATTTATGATAGTAACCGCGTCTAATCAAACCATAATTGTCGTGTGTGATTAACTACTTGCCCGATATTTCATCAAAGAAGAAAGAAAGAATCTTGCATTGCACATGAGCTTAGAAATGCTGAGATGGTCTCACGGTAGAAGACAAAGGACACCGATATCTACCACACGTGTGGCATAATAGGCATTCGCCACGCATCATGTGTGGCATGAGCGGGGGCAGTCCCACACGGGTTGTGTGGGCGCAACTACTTCGTGTCACACACCCAACAGGTATTACTCATCCCCACCCCCGCGCGTATGGCACGAAGCAAATATGCCCACACGTCCTAGCGCAACTACAATAGGTACCCATGGGATGACGATTTAGTTGCCATCCGGGATGGCAGATGTAGCTATCGGGGATGGCAAATATGGTTGTAGAAGCATGGCAACTCTCTCTGTTTTGGTTAACTATAGTTGCCATGTCTAATTTATGGTAGTTACCGCGTCTAATCAAACCATAATTGTCGTGTGTGATTAACTACTTGCCACATATGGTCAAACAATAGTTGCCATGTGTGTTTACCTAGTTGCCACGTGTGGTTAATCACAGTTGCCATGTATAGCTCGAGGGGTTTGATCAAACTGTTCGGGATGCATGGGTTTGTGATGCGAATATTTTGGACCCTTTCAAAAGAATGGATGCTCACCCGACGAACACGGCCGTTGCGTTGCAAGCTTGGGGACAAAGGAAGTCTAGAAACATCAAAATTCAGATCGCCATCGCCAATTACATCATCCTCAGGTTTGATCGCGCCATGGAGGACCGAGCTCTCAACCCCGCGGAGCAGTGGCTTAGGAAAACTATTAAACATGCGTTATTGGGGCTGTCCTCTCTACAACATACCATAAGAGCGCCAGCGCTGGATCCACGAAGGGGATGCCAACACCAAGTTATTTCAAGCTATGGCGAACGGGCGGCGGTCAAAAAATTTCATCCCCCACATTCGGCATAATGATGAGCTCATTACGGAGCAAGAGAGGAAGGGAGAAATCTTTACCGAGGCCTAT